AGATGTGGAACGTAAAGTTCCTTATTACCCATTTCTCGTCTATTTGTTTTATGCAAATCTGTCTGTCACCACTTCTGCTGATGGTCTTCAAACCATCAATACATCTGTTAAAAATGTTCCTATTTCATTTTCTGCCGACGAACTTGCGGAAATCCTTAAGATCCCGTCAAGTGACATCGAGCTCATGTCTATCGAACACACCGATCAGGATGTGAACGATGCTATGTTTAAAGCCGGTTGCACCTATCCTATGAACAACAAATCACTTAATCCCACTGCTAAAATCATAGCTTGTATTGTTGCTCAGAATCTCATTCCCAAGACCGGTAGCTTTGATCACTTTGCCCCTGATAAGGTTAATGTTGTTTATGCCATCTTTGCCAAAATAAAAGTGAATTCGGCAAATGTTTTTCTTAAGAACATGGCATGCAAACATTACAAGTTTCTTCCCTTTGGTTGCTTCATCACCCTCATTCTCCAACACTTCGGTGTTGCTCTGTCAAATGAACCCAAAGTTGATCAGAGTAAGGAATACTTTGATAAAGTTTCTCTCTCACGTATGCAAATTTCAGACTCCTTATCTGATCCTGCTAAGCCATCATCTTCCTGTTCTCGGTCTAGAGTCTCTTGGGATTCCGGATCCCTCTTCCAGTTCTGACTCTGGTTCAGGAGAGGGCTCTGATGAAGAATCTGCTTCTGGTTCGGGATCTGGCTCCGGATCTGCTTCTGACGATGGTGGTAATTGATTCTCGATGATTATTGGGTTTATGCTTATGTTTATGTTTTGGTGAACAAAAACTTGATACTTATGTTTTATTTGATTTGTAATAACTCTATGGTTTGTGTGGAAAACTATGTGGTATTGTGGAACAAATTGTGGTTATGTTAGCTTATGATTTTTTTTTGGTTTTTTAGTTCCACTGAACAATGTGTTGTTAATGATGCTTTGTGATTGGTTTGGTTTTAAATTTCAAATGTTTATGGTTGTGTATGGATGGATATGGTTGCTTAGCTCCTATATATGATCTTTATATGTCATTTATGTAAATTGACAAGGGGAGCTTTGGCCATACATTTGTTTATTATCTATGCTTGTATGCAGGGGGAGCATTGCTCCTATTCTCTATATTTCATTTCCCTTTTCGATGTTCTCAAAGGGGGAGAAAAACTCATATTGATATTGATATTTAGTTTAGTGGTTTAGTTGTTGATGAAAGTGTAATGATGATTTGGTTTTTATGTTGTCACTACATGTTTCATATGGTTGGCTTATTTGGTATCTTAATATGAACTTCATATCATTAAATAAATTGTTTGCCATCATCAAAAAGGGGGAGATTGTTGGCTCTATAGTTTTAATGATGATTTGTCAAACAATTTATAGCTAATATGTTTTCTAGTTTCCGTTGGTTGGTTTTTCTCTTTTTAGGTAATTCAACACACGACAATTAAGAGTTAAAGATTCAAGTTCATGTGTGTGCATTCTCCTAGGTATAAGAGTAGTTTTCTTACATATATTGCATGTTTATATTTAAGCTCAATATGTAAACACGACACAAATTTGACGTTTTCTATCATATAAATGATTTTTCATCAAACTTTGTCACAATAACTTTTATTTCATGTTTACAGCTCATTCATACTTTATTATATATATATAATATATGCATGATATATATATACGTGTTTACAAGTCATATCTCAATTTTCATGTTCGCGAAAAACAGGTTTTATGAACACTTTTCAAAAACAGTGAGTTTTCACAAACGAAAATTACATTTCTAAAAATTCCTTTTTAAACATGTTTATTTTATCATTTAGAAACTTTCCCCAAAGTTTTACTATTTTTAGAATTGATTTGATATTTTTAACGTATTTTCAAAATCAGCCCAAAACCTGTATATTACCATGTATCAGTTTGCGGTCGACCGTCACGGTCAACCGCCAACAGTTAAATTTCTTACTATGGCTTTTTGTTGTTGGCGGTCGACCGTGGCTCCATCCAGAAACTTTCGTGGTCGACCGTCGCGGTCGACCGCTAGCTTTCAAAGTTGCGCGGTCGACCGCGAGATTTTCACGGTCGACCGCCGAACTCATCATTGCTTTCTCAACGACTATATTATGATTTAAATCTGTGGGGGCTATTTTGGTCATTTCAAGTTGGTTTTGGCTGATATTTTGAGTGGGTATAAATACCCTATTGCTGTTCTCTTTCAAGAGATAAAGTTTTGTTTTTACAGTGAAGTTTTAACAAAAGTTTAAGTGCGTTTAAAGAGCTGATTAAGCTGATTATGATTATCTGTTTCAAAAGAAGTTTTTTACAACAAGAAGAGACTTTCACTTCAACTGAGGATCTTATCCTCATCATCCTATACTGTTCTTTCTTGTTTATTGAGAAGTTTTCCTAACTCATCTTTTCATATAGCTTATAATTTTATTTTCATATCTTAGCTATATTTATTGAGTTACATATTTTCATTCACTGTTATCACACACACTGTATTGAGCTTAATATTCCATACTATATATTGTGGGTAGTGGTGTGTGATTTAGTGAGTGTGAGCTTCATTGCGTTCTCATTTGTTGTTGAGAACAAACCATTGTATTTAACCTTTATTTGTGAGTATCACTTGTAATACACTTGTACATCGAGAGAAGTGTGAGGCGAGAGACGGGGTCGAATCCAATAGGAGTGGCGTCGGTTGACGAACCTAGGGAGAGGTTGCATCCGAGCACTTGAGGAGGAGGACACGGGCTAGGTTCCTACACTTAGTGTGTAAAGTGTGATTGCATAGTGTTTGTTGTGTGAGAGTATTCGATAAACTTGTAAACCGAGTGTGTAGAAGTTCCGGCTTCCAAACCGGATTGTGATAGTGGAGATCTCCTCGAGGTGAGGAGCGGGGACGTAGGTCGTGGTGAGTGAACCTCGTAAACATATCGTGTGTTTGTGTTTTGCTTAGTGTATATTTTATTTGTGGCTTTTCATATAATTCTTGTTCATATCTATCTCATATCATTCTTGCAAGAACAAATTAATCAATATAATTTAAATTGGAATTTAATCGGGATTAGATTAGCATAAGACCCTAATCCCCCCCCCCCTCTAGGGTCTAACAGAGAATGGGTCAGATCTAAGTCTTGAGGAAATCTTTGGTGTGGAGCTGAAGATATTATAAGAAACAGAAACATATCAGGTCCTTCAAAATAAAGGAACTGTGTTTGATACGTGTTTCTCTGATCTTATTTTTGAAGAACTATTTGCTGATGAACTTAGGCTCCTAGAAAATAGACAAGAACCAAATTTTCATACATCAACCATGAATCTTGGATTTGAGGAAATTTTTAAAGAAGAATTGGTTATATTAGGACAAACTTTCATTAATAAGGAACATAAGGCTTTGAAAATGCATAACATCATTGATACCTACCTTCAATTGTTGCAGAAATTATTAAAACCTTCGGAGTATACAGAGTTTAAGCACATTTTTGAGTTTATCATTCTAGATTTTTTTATAACCCGAGGAAGAATATTCAGCAATAAGGTGGGATTTGATATAGAATATGAGTTTTTTATGTTTAATTTGCATCCTACATCTTTACTTTTTGTCTTATAATAATACATATAATAAAAAGAATTTATTCTTCTCTCTTTTGAGAGTTTCTTGTTCTTTTAAAAAAAGAAAAAAAGAGAAAAAAGAGAAAAAAGTAAACAAAAAATAAAAATAAATAAATAAAGAGATGTAAATAAAAAAGAGAAGAAAATTTTGACTTCATCCTCCTTATACCAAAGGTATTTATAGATTTTTATCATTTCATCGTTGTTCTAAATCGATCGAACAAATGTAAGTGTTTTATTTCTTATCTGCTTTACTTTGCACATTATAAAGTTTGTATTGAGGACAATACAAAATTTAGGTATGGGGGTAGAAACTAGTCATTTTTTTCTCTCTATTTTATTTTTTTATTCATTTTTGCTATGTCATTTTTTTCCTTTAAAATAACATAAAAATATTGCCACTTGCCAAATTAATAAAGTTAATTAATAATTGATCTATTTGATAAATTTTAAATTTTTTAATCCTTAGTTAGTTTTATACTCAAGTTCACCTTTTATGATAACTCTAAATAAATTTCTAAAGATGTGATTTTCAAAGTAGTATACCTTACTAAAGTCTTGACTCAGACTTTTAATTAAATGAATGAAATTTTTGTAACTTAAAGTAGAAAATAATTTTTCAAGATGTCTTGATGTAAATATTTTTTTGAGATATATATACATATACACATATATATATTAAAAAAGTAACTTTACAAAAAAAGAGTATGAAAAACGGGCACCAATAAAACCGCTTTTGAAATTCAAGGTGGTTAAGCCTAAGTTGACTGAGTAATTAAGCCCAATGAGTATTTACATGCCTAATGACCTGAGCCCAATTGGAAACTTAAAATATGAATATAATTCAACATTCTTTTGCTCTTCATGGAGCTATTACCTGTAAAGATTATACTTACCCCGCACAGGCCTTCCTATTTAAGCTGAGATGTCTTCAGCTTTAGTATTGAGGTTCATACCAATCGTGTGGATCAGAAATGCAATTCGAGCACTCACGATGCCACGATGGTTTTGTGACAAGCAGTGTGGGTGAAGCATCAAGAAATTGAACATGAAATATAAAATTCTCCCATCTTTAGGATATTATTAAAAAAATAGGCTCCTCCATAGCGTGTGTCAATTGTGACCCCATGACGGTAGGAGTAGCGTATGAAGATATGAAGTACCTTAATATTTGTTATCTTCCAAATAAATTAATAGGATAACATTTATAATTTTTTTCCCCAGGAGCATTCAAGCCATTAAGATTTCTTTCCATTCAGGAGCATGATACGTTGCCCCTGCAAATTCTTTTCCTTTTTCGCAAATTCTTTTCCTTTTTCTGATGGTGCCGAGTCAAATTTAAACCATTGGATTAAGTAAATACGTGTATATGAACAGCTAAAACTCATAGAAATGTTGACTGATGCACCAAATAGATGGGTAAAGTGATATGAATGTCCTTCTGAACAAGTTAGAAAGGAAAAAAAAAACACTTGCTCCTAGCAGGTCTACACTTATTCCTATTCTGTACTGTGGAGCTAAGATTATTATCCCTGAAAGGAATTTCACAAAAAAAAATAATGTAGACATACTTTACAAACCAGCTATATGATCTATAGAAGAATTTGCACACCATCTTTTGTTCTTTACATTTACTGCTCCTCAATGCCTCAACCAGTCACCCTACAAGAACAAAATGATGATAATTTGCATCAACATAAATTATCTTAGAGACAAAAGCTCCTAATAACAGAGCCTGATCTTGAATTCATAGACAATTAAATAATGTGGCTTTTCGATTGGTTGAAAGTTGCTAAAACTCTATTCAACTCTTATAAGTCCTTATTCCTCACTAAACAGAAATTAAATTTCAGTTTTGAAATGAGCCCAGCAGCTAATCAATATCCACAATCACGCGGAACCTTTTTTGCTTGATCAACCTTGTTTCAGATATATAATTGAAAGTTTACCACAAATTGGTAAAGGCAAGTTAACAAAATATTAAGGTGAAAGAAAAGTACAGAAATTTCGCGTCACTAGACATAGTAGTAAACTTATGATAGTGATTATTCACATGATCCAAATCTTAATGAAACATAAATTTGAGCTATTTCACGGTATTGCAATATAATGATCTTAAAAAGATTAAGGGACACCAATTATTACAGCGTGATTTATATCATAGCAAATACCAGCTATTTGACATCCATGAACGCCTAGGCAACATCCATGGGGTTTTCTGATTCTTGTAAAAGATGAAAAACCAGATAAAAGTAATAGGTCTAAGTTTTGCCATACCTCAAGCCCAAAGGCCTTCCAGAAGATTTTTGCACGTTGGAGATTCAGTTCCAACACCAACCATTTGATATCAAAGTGCATAACCAGCCAGACCTCAGGTGAACAACCTGAGCCAAACTGAGAGGTCCAAAAGCAGTCGTCACGCCACCGTAAGCTCTTTTCACCACCTTCACCACCTTCACCATTAAAATATCCAGATGTTGCATTATCTCCTAACCTTCGCAAACAATAATGTACACAATCACTGCTGGGTTTGGATCTGGTTCAGCCTATTGAACCAAATAGAATGCAGAATCATATGGAAGATATCGTACTTCTCAGGCTTCGTATGCCAGAGAAAATGCCTCTGCACCCTCTTAACAGCTGCCTGCAAAGCAATATATCTCCTCAGAGAGATGCCCAACAATATATCCCTCAGATTCGGTATATCTTTCTCAGCAACTGACACAGAAAATGAGCTCCAATCCAAAACTTCTTCAAAAGGAAGCACAAAATTATCCGCTATAATCACCGGAACACACTCAGCATAGATAGCCTCCACAATCCTCGGGCTGTTAACTTCATATCCCATAGGACAGAGGCAGAACTTGCTAGATTTCAAATGCTCAACATAGGACATTTTCCTGGAGACTCGGTTTGGGAGGCGCTTATAAATTCTCATATCTTGAGAATTGTCATCTTTATCACCCCAGTATTTTATGAGGGTGGGCCTCACTCTTCCATGCATGTTTCCTGCAAAGAAAGCAAGAATTGGCCGCTGAGAGACGCGTTTCCCTCCTACGTATCTTTGAGGCCTGTTTGGAGTTCTGATGGTTGTTTCTGGGAGAGAAACATCCCTCCCACGAACAAAGATTCCTTCTGAAGTGTCTGCATTGCATAGGGCTTTAATGGTGTTCTTGCGCAGTTCTTCATGTGCTGTTGTTGTATAAGGACCCTGAAAACAATTGAATACGATAGTGGGAATACTAAACTAGATAAGAAAAGAAATGCCTAATAGGTTTACCATGATCATTCTCTATGTTACTTGACAATATGATACAACTGTTATTAACAAAATGAGAAGCCTACTAACAAAGCATTTTACTATGTTTAACAAAGTTATGCATCTAATGCATATGATGCAGCAAGAAAAATTGCATGGTTACCATCAAAGCATATATCACTTTCATATTACTGCAAACCTCCATATTTTCATCTCATTCAAAGGATTGATATCCTCACACTTATTACCTATTACTGTGTAAATCCACATACACATTACAGTAAGAATTAATTCTCTACGAATTAACCAGATTATCTTCAGTAACATGAATGGTTCAAACGAAAGATAATAACTTTTCATTGCTAACTGTCAAGGATAGAATTAGTCAAGAACGTGAGTACACAATCAATATAATTAGAAAATTTTGTGATGAAAACGGCAACAAAAGGGACAGATGCCCTGCCAGCGGAATGTCCAAGCTAATTTTCAAACCAAAAGATAATTTTGAACACTTAAAAATTGGTATCTGAAATTTTCCAAAGAGTCTCGAGAGCATACCCAATCATGGCAAGCAACTAGGAAATGATCTGCTCCTCTTGTCCGATTCCAGAAAGGATATACAGAGGAAATATTGTTTACATGATCCTTCAGAAAATTCGCTAAAGGCTTCAAATTATGCGAATTAGGCACATAAAGAGCATTTTTTAGCTGGCGTGAACTATATGGAATATAAAACAAGTGGGCCTTTCTTGCCTCCCTGACAACAAATCTGCGGTCCTCCTCCATCAATTTCATAAACCATCCTTCAGAAGCATAAATGCCTCTAAGCTCTGGTTCGTGGAAGACAGGTTTTTTCCCATCCTTATAGATGTAAACTTTAAGGATCCTTTCCATCAATTCATAACTCCTGAAACATACAATGTGAAAGCTATCATTATCTATGTTTTCCTGAGAATGAAAAAGACTCATCTGGGAACAACTGAAGTGGCTCTAATTACTCAAGGCCATCACTACTAATAGCTAAATACATTTGTTGAGCGAATGTTCTAGCTGTGAGCAAGGATACAAGTGTCATTTAATTGATAATTGGGTTCAAGTAACTAAACAGAAAAATATATTGATTTAAAATAAAAAATTATATAATGAGATGAAAGAAAGTACTGGACACTACTAGTAGAATCCATAGTTAGAAAATGAATGTATTGTTCCCTGTCAAATGAATAGCCGCCATAATTAAGTAGGTGTGCCTCCTGTATTGTTGTCTCTTGGTATTTGCTCAATGAACCACCATCTCATGGACATCCTCTATAGTGTCCTAGAACCAAAAATCAAGTTTCTTTTAACATTCTTTTCGTCTAAGACATCACACAGCAAGCAGGTTATTTTCATGGTAGTGTTAGGTAAATTCATGCCTATACATCTGGGTTTGCGTTGCCCTATAGAACTACATCCCTATACATTTGCATAATATGTGATGGAAATGTTAAGAAAATGTAAATACATTATACCTAACTATCAACTTCTACTTACATACTCAATTTTCAGACTTATATATAGTGCCAAATAGGGGATTTATCATCTTACAGGCTTAAATATTATTTCTTAAGACTGGCGTCGGTTTATATGGCTTCTTTTTCCTAACAATTAAAATGAAATGATAAAATATTAGCGAATATGACAATCACTAAATCCATGTATTAGATTCTCTAAGCTTCCAAATAGTCCTCGTGCATTTTGGTATCTTACCGACTCTTCTAGAAGCATCTACCTTTTATTCATATCCTCCCCCAAAAAGGTCCCCGACAAAAGAAAGGGGAATTCCAATGCTTCCATGACTAGATACTGAATCTAAAATTTCCTAAGATAAATTAAAAAAAATATGACTCCCCTAGAAACCATACAGTTTCAAGTTACCACTATCACTCAAGAAATTTGGGATCAATAAATGAAAGAGTTCAAAATTTACTACACATGTATGCTCTTCAACATGGAAATTGTGCATGTACATTACTAAGGTATCCTTACCTGGTTGAACCTATGAGGCTTACTCTGGAAAAATATTCTCTTAATGGAAACAGTGGTTGATCTCAAAAGGTAGCCAAACCAAAGCTCCAAAGGAAGAAACATCCACAGCTTAAGGGCCAACATCGAAATAGGACATTCAAGTTCTGTCTCGCATAGTCGCATTTGACAGCGATGTATCCAGTATCCTGAGACACTCTAACAACATATTGGCATGTCAACAACCAGGTCAGGCTTGATAATTAGAAGAATGGAGCAAGTCATATGCTTGACAACTCGAAGAAGAGAACCCATTCTATTGAGAATTTGAGATAAGTAGAATTCTGTAATACATGAATGCAATATTGTACCTATGACTGTATATTCAGTTTTAGGGATTGGCAAGTCCCTGTCAACTAGTTGAGTCCACTAACCCAAATTTCAATCAGACAACTTGGAAACCCTTTGGTGGAACAAACACACAATATTGCAGAAATGTATAGAATACAATACTGAAAATCTAAGCAGAAATGTATAGAATACAATACTGAAAATCTAACAAACCAAAGATCCATCAACAAGATATGTCAATGTTGACGTGTCAGGTGGATCATGCAGTTTAATGTGCATGTAACCAATGATGGAACAAACACACAATATTTCAGTTTGCTCCAGCCTCACAAATTTCTACTCGAAGTCTTGGCAGATAATAGATTGAATCTCGTTTGGTCACACGCCTTACATAACATATTGTCTCAAAGTTAAGCTTGGATTCATCCATCAACTACTTTCCATAGTCTTCCTACCAAAGCTCCGATGGCTAGAAGAAGGAACAAAATTTCCTTTCCATTCCGATACTTCTTCCTCTCTAATCCAAACTACCTCCCCACCCCACCCCACCCCACCCCACCCCTGTGGCAAAAAAAAACCAAAACCCCAAAAAAATAAATAAATAATAAGGGAAACTACTGTCCGAAAAAGACACAGTTAAGAGTCTAGAAGAAGTGGAAAGATGACTGGCTTATTTTGAAGTTGTGTTGAAATTTCAATCTAAGGACTGGCATTGTAGTACCACTTGAACACACTATTTCACAGCCATCATTCAAGAGCAATACAGCTAATTTTCCAGCATAAATAGGCACGAAATTTTTTTAAAATGAAGGGATATCCTTCCCTACAAGAAAGTCATGAAGAGGATGTTGCAAGTGATACTATTTGTTACTTCAATTTATCCATCTTAAATTCTTAATACATGTTGCTTGAAAGTAGGATGTAGAGTTAAATTTAACTAATTATTCCATAAAGTATAAGTCTTAAATCTATACAGTAGCACATTTTTCAAGTAATCGGGGAGCCAAGGGAAATTATTAAGTAGAAAAATAGATACAAAATATACAAGAAGTGGAAGGGGAGAAGGAAACAAAACTAATTATTAGAAAATAAAAAGACTCGTATTTCTTTCCGAACCAATGGGACATGTTGTTTTGAGTCGATCGCCCATTCCAATGTAATCCAATGTTTTTCACACGAAAAGGAAGGTGATTTTACAATTAAATGACAAGGAGTGTTTGCATCTCTGAGGTGTACCATGGCACTTTAATGCAATGTATTACACCTTAAAGTATATAATCAATGGTAGAATTCACATAATATTCATTCCATTTTATGGCAAAGGAGGGTAAACCCCCATTCACCCCTAATTCATTGTTAGTAGCACTTTTCAAGTGTTAAACCTGTTAATTTGGGATTGAAGAGAGCTCTATATGTTGTTTGATGATCAGATTTACAGGATATATATACACAATAAATAGCCTACATACACAATCAGTAGTAGGCACACTAGGAGGCGGCTGAGTCGAGCTAGGCACATATATGGTGGCTAGTATTATCTAACACCCCCTTCAAACTCACGGTGGATTGAACACCGAGAGTTTGAACAAGAAATAGCGAAACGCAGAAATAGTTTGAGCCTTTATAAATAAATTTGCACTTGTTCCTTAGAGCAAACATATGAGAGTGTAATGTTTCCAGCAACATACTCCTGTCGAACCACATGACAATCCACCTTAATATGTTTGGTACACTCATGAAATACCGGATTTGTAGAAATAGAGATGACACTCTGATTATCACAGTATAAAGATATAGGACAAGTAACAAAGACATGGAGATCTCGCAGAAGAGTGCGGAGCTATTTGAGCTCAACTGTAGTGTTTGCCAACGCCTTGTACTCGAAATCCATACTAGAACGAGAGACAACGGCTTGACGCTTACAACACCAAGAGATGAGAGATGAACCTAGAAAAATACAAAAACCAGTAGTAAAACGTCGAGTGTCTGCATCATCAGCCCATCCAGCATCAGAATATGCACGAAGAGACAAAGAAGAGTCTAAGGGGGGAAATAATGATTGGGTTATAGTGCCACGGAGATATCAAAGAACCCGAATGAGAGTTGCATAGTGAATGAAAGTCGGACTACTGACAAACTGATTCAAGATGTGTACTGCATAGGCGATATCCGGACATGTTGTTGAAAGATAAACCAATGCTTCGATAAGTTTCCGATAGCGAGTAGGCTGAGGTAAGGGATCGCCATCATCATGTCAAAGCTTCAAGTTCATTTCCATCGGTGTGGAGAGAGGAGTGGTAGCAATGGAAGGATCACTGAGAGTAGCACGCTCATGAATGTATGCAATGTACTTCTGCTAAGAGAGAAGATAGCCACGAGAGGAGGAAGCAACCTCAATACCCAAGAAGTAACAAAGAGATCCAAGATCCTTCATCTCAAATTAATTCTGAAGATATTGCTTTAAGAAAGTAATAGCAGAGGAATCACTCCTAGTGATTATCATGTCATCAACATAAAATAATAGAATAACTGTACCAGAGGTTGAGGACCGATAAAATAGAGAATAATCAGCTAGGCTTTCACTGAAACCAATAGAGAGAAGAGATTGCCGGAAACATTCAAACAAAGTCCGAGGAGCTTGTTTGAGACCATATATAGCACGACGAATGCGACAGGCATGTACTAAAGGAGTAGGAAAGCCAGAAGGCAGCTGCATGTGCACTGTCTCAGACCAATCGATATTAAGAAAAGTATTTTTAACATCCATTTAATACAAAGGCTAATGTTTGCAGCTGCATCAGCAATGAGAGTGTGAATAGATGTCATTTTTACAATAGGAGAAAAAGTCTCTTTATAGTCAATATCGTACTCTTATGAGAATCCCCGAGCTATAAGACGAGCTTTGTACCGCTCAATAGAACCTTCAGATCGAGTCTTAACCTTATAAATCATTTTGCAGCTTACCGGTTTAACATCAGAAGGCAAAGGAATAAGATCTCAAGTATTTGTTAGACCCTAATGCCACTAGGAAAGAACCCTAGAGGGAGGTGAAAAGGGTTTATGCTAATCTAATCTGATTTTATAATAATTAAAATTAATTAATAAATTATTCTTGTAAGATAAATATACAATGTGATATGAGCAAGAATAAGCAATATAACTAAGGTGATATATCCTAGCAATGAGATATACTATATGGTATATGCAAGGATATATTTAAACTATCACAAGGATGAAACAAACTAGTGGATAATATAAACAAGATGCAATAGGCTATAAGATGAACAGTTATAAGTGCGCCAATGCAAACCAAACACGCTATATGTTCACGAGGTTCGGACCTTCCGTCCTACGTCCCCGCTCCCCACTCTCGAGGAGAATCCACTACACAACCCGGTTTGGAAGCCGAAACTTCTCTACACACTTGGTTTCCTTGCTAACCGAAAACTCTACATACTCGGTTATCAAGTCAACCGACAACTCTCACAAATCCTTACAATGTACATACACAAGCAACAACCTTAAGTGTTGGTCCTCACGTATCGACTCCCTCAAGTGCTTGGAATTATCACCTCTCACTAGGCCACCGACGCCACTCCTCTCGGCATCGACTCCATCCTCACCACACACTCCTCTCGATGTACAAGTGTATTACAAAGTGAACTTCACAAATTAAGCACAACAAATGATTGTTCTCTAAACAAGGTGAGAACTCAATTAGGCTCAACTCAATATTACTATCTCTCACAACCCCAAATATATTATGAATGCAAATACAATAAGCTCAAGTGGGTGTGTGTAACAATGAGATTAATCAAATCTAAACTCAATATAAAACTAGCTTTAATAAGATGATAATCAAACAAATAAATATAAAGCTAGAAAAGAGTTTAGAAAACTTCTCAATAGATGACAAGAGATGGAGGGAGAATAGATGATTGCTCAAACTCTAATAGATGATCTCCTCAAGCTCTTGTGGAATTGAATTCACAAACTCAAACTCGAAAATGCTTAAAAGCTTTTAAACACACTTAAACAAAACTTAAACCCTTGTTTAAAACTTTCTTAAACTTCTTTAAAAAATTCTCTTAGTTTCCCTAAAAAATGAGAGCAATGGGGTATTTATAGGAACCCAAAACTTTAGCAAAAACCCCAAGAAAAAGACCAAAAAAACCATAAACAAACAAAACATAAAACTAGCCGTTACTGTGCAACGGCTCTCTGATAAGTTGACTTATGAGTCGACTTATATGAGTCGACTCAGCAGATAAAAAATCACAACTGCGCTGCACTTCTTGAGTCGACTTATGAGTCGACTAAACGTGCACAGATCTGAAATGCGCAGAAAAACTCAACTTTAAACCATATTTAAAAATATCAAATAAATTCCAAAAATTATAAAATTTGGGGAATAGTTTATAAACATGTTAGTTAACATGTTACAAAAAAAATTTTGGAATTGCACTTCTTAATAGTGAAAACTCATTATTTTACAAAACTAGTTCAAAACATGAAAACTAAACATATGAATTTTGACATTTTGGCAAAGCCATGTTTTGAAACTTTATAAAATAATTTTATTGACTTAATGAAAGATGTATATAATGATTGTTAAGTCCATAAACCAATAAAACAATATTTTCACAAACTTGCATATTCTGCAAACTTTTCAAAACAATAAATATGATTTTATTTTACTAAATAAACTTGATATTGATGAAATCATATATATGTATATAAATATGAAACATGAATGTATTTTCCAATTATATTCATTTGTTTCATAAATATAAACTTGAAAACAATAAAACCAAAACACAATAATAAATATGTAATCTCATATTTATAAGCATGAAAACTTTAAACTATGTATGTATATATATATAACTATATATATACATAGAAACATATATGTATATGTATGACTACATATACATAAAAACCAAAAACTAAAATATGTATATATATAACTATATATAGATATATATGAAAACCAAAACTTGTGTTGTATATATATATATATATAACTATATATATAAGGAAACCAATATAATGTGTGTATATATGATTAAGCTTAAAGTACCAACACACATAATATAAATCTAAACTAATGTTACCCAAGCTTGATCTTGATCTTCAATAAGCTTGACTTGGTACACATGCGGATGAAACTAAAACTTGGATCTTCAATTTGAATTGCATAGGCTTCACTCCACAATTCCGCCAACCTCCATTGGATATGATCATTAAAGCACAATTCCATCCATCCTTCAACATGTTGTTTGTCTACAATTGATATAAAAACACAAACACTAGACAAACAATATTAGAAGTAAATTATTTATAAATCATCATCAAAACAAGAAGGCCAACAGTATTAGTCTGACGAAAAGCCTCTAACTATTCTGTCATTGCTTGTTGCCATTATGGATACTTAACTGCCTTCGAGTGGTAGGTTCATAACAACGATACACCTTGTGAATGGTGCTATAGCTAAGAAAGATACATCGTGCAATGCATGGAGATAATTTATCTCGTTCATGAGTTGGAAGCAGGACAAAACAAACATATCCAAAAGTGCAAAGAAGAGAGTAACGAAACTAAGACTTGAAAAGTTGAAAATATGGAGAGGTGTCAGCAAATGGAGATCGATTATTCTCGAGTGTTGGACGAGGTGATCTCTTACGATATTTATCAATAAAATGACCCGGCCTCTTATAATAACGACAGTAGAGTTGTCGATAGGAATCAGATGTACTGTTAGACGGACCCCAATAGGAAGAGTTGGAGGCTTTTCATCGGATTAATACTTGGGACCTTGTTCCTCTGCCTTCTGGTGTTAAACTGGTAAGCTACAAATGGATTTATAAGGTTAAGACTCGATCTGACGATTCTATGTACAAAGCTCGTCTTGTAGCTCGGGGATTCTCATAAGATTACAGTATTGACTATAAAGAGACTTTTACTCCTGTTGTAAAAATGATATCTATTCACACTCTCATTGCTGTTGCAGCTACAAACATTGGCCTTTGTATCAAATGGATGTTAAAAATACATTTCTTAATGGCGATTTGTCTAAACAGTGTACATGTAGCCGCCTCCTAGCTTTCCTACTCCTTCAGGACATGCTTGTCGCATTCGTCGTGCAATATATGGTCTCAAACAAGCTCTTCAGACTTGGTTTGAGTGTTTCTGACAATCTCTTCTTTCTATTGGTTTCATTGAAAGCCTAGCTGACTATGCTCTATTTTATCGGTCCTCAACCTCCGGTACAGACATTCTATTATTTTTTATGTTGATGACATGATAATCATTGAGAGTGATTCCTCTGCTATTACTTTCTTAAAGCAACATCTTCAGAATCAATTTGAGATGAAGAATTTTGGATCCCTTCGTTACTTCTTGGGTATTGAGGTTGCTTCCTCCTCTCGTGGCTATCTTCTCTCTCAGCAGAAGTACATTGCAGACTTTCTTGAGCGTGCTACTCTCAGTGATCCTTCCATTGCTACCACTCCTCTCTCCACACCGATAGAAATGAACTTGAAGCTTTGACATGATGATGGCGATCCCTTACCTCAGCCTACTCGGTATCGGAAACTTGTCGGAGCATTGGTTTATTTTTCAGCAACACGTCCAGATATCGCCTATGCAGTACACATCTTGAGTCAGTTTATCAGTAGTCCGACTTTCATTCACTATGCAGCTCTCATTCGGGTTCTTCGATATCTCCGTGGCATTATAACCCAATCATTATTTTCCCCCTTAGAATCTTCTTTGTCTCTTCGTGCATATTCTGATGTTGGATGGGCTGATGATGCAGACACTCGACGTTTCACTACTGGTTTTTGTATTTTTCTAGGTTCATCTCTCATCTCTTGCCGTAGTAAGCGTCAAGCCGTTGTCTCTCATTCTAGTAAGGAGTCCAAGTACAGGGCGTTGGCAGACACCACAGTTGAGCTCAAATAGCTCCGCACTCTTCTGCGAGATCTCCATGTCTTTGTTACTTGTCCTATATCTTTATGTTGTGATAATCAGAGTGTCATCTCTATTTCTACAAATATGGTATTTCATGAGCGTACCAAACATATTAAGGTGGATTGTCATGTGGTTCAACATGAGCATGTTCCTGGAAACATTACACTCTCATATGTTTTCTCTAAGAAACAAGTGATAGATTTATTTATCAAGGCTCAAACTATTTCTGTGTTTCACTATTTCTTATCCAAACTCTCGGTGTGTGATCCACCTTGAGTTGGAAGGGGGTGTTAGATAATACCAGTCACCCAATATGTGCTACCTCGAGGAGGGTTAGGTTGGAGATGTTGTCAACGATGGAGACGACGCGATCGCTTTATTTGGGGGCGGCTGCGGCACTAGCGGCTTGAGAGGATTCAAAGGAGGTGAGAGACAGCAGGGAGGTAGGAGGAGCTTCGACGGGAGCTTGGGAGGAGCAACGAGGCCCAGTTCCGTGGATCATGTGGGGGTGGTGGCGGAAGTAGGTAAGACCGCTGGCTAAATTTTAACGGATTGAACCTGACTCTGATACCATGTTAATTTGGTATTGAAGAGATCTTTATATGTTGTTTGATGATCAGATTTACATTATATATATACATAATAACTAGCCCACATACACAATTAGTAGTAGGCACACTAGGAGGTAACTGAGGCGACTAGGAGGCGGCTGAGTCGGGCTAGGCACATATAGGGTGGCTGGTATTATCTAACAAAACCTATGAAAACTTCTCAGTTTCAGCTAGTTACTAAATGATATTTCTTCTTATACACTATCAACATAAAAGTTATTTCCTTTTAATCTATAACTTTTAAAAAATTGAACAATATGAAATCAAATTAGCAAAGGAATGCCTTTTGAAAACCGATAAATTCCGGAACAATGGGGCATAAAGTTCAGTATCATTCAAAACCAGAGGCGCATTCACAATCTCCCTTTTAGCACACAAGAGGGCCTCATCCGGAGGTAAAGTTCTCTGCAACAACAACAGCAACAAAGTCTTGAACAGTCACGACCTCCCCCAAATCAAGAATCAAAATCAAAACCTGACAAAGCACATACCTCCTCCTTCAGAGGCCGCGCCTTTGTTCGATTCCCGCCCAATTTCTCAACCGCACGACCAATTTCCTCACTAGAGTTCAAAACATTCGAGGATCGAGAGGATACAGAGAAAGATGAACGAGCAAATTCTCGAAAATAGGTAGAATTGGAAGAGGCATCAGCTGCTGCGTCGAGAGAAAAGGAGGGATTTGAGGAGGTGGAGGAGGAGGAGAAGGGAGGAGTGAAAGCGAAGAAGGCCGTGGCGAGGAGAGAGACGCGAGGGCGATCCGTCGGCAGCTGAGGCGACCGCGGGTGGAGGCGGGCGGGGGACGGCGTCATCAGGCTCGGCGGTGGTCGGCGGTCCGACGACGGCCGCCGCCATGACCCAGGGATTTGAGAAAGAGGGAGATTTAATCATCGGGGAAGAAGGAGAAGGAGATTGAAGAGGATCAATGATTTATTATTATGAGAGGAAAAAAAGATTTAGGAAGAGAGAGAGAAGGCGACGAAATCGCCGGCGTTTTGATTGTTGCCGTGTCGTTTTTGCGGGAAAATGATTATGATTAGACAGCCGTTAAGAGATATATTGTGGGCCCGTCCCTAAGGGACCAGCTCCGCCGCTGCCCGTTGACAAATGGGCTCCAGCTGTCGGGTTCCAACAAATTCTACAAAACTATAGGCCTAAATAGCACGTTATTACCTTACAGTTTCTCCTACACTTACCATGCGCTCATGCAGTTTCCCCTACACATTTTTTATTCTTTTTTTTAATAACAGGTTTCCCCTACACTTAAATACCTCACGAACTTGAACTAAACAGACCTTTAACATTTTCTATTATGTAAACGTAAGAAAATTTTCTTAATTTTTTCCGACACTCGCAAACTAATTTTATAATCTCTTTAGCTCTTATTGTTTATTAGAATTTATTCTTAAACCTATTATAATTTCACTTTAAATTATAATTAGAGTAGGTTTAAAATAAAATTAAAGTATGTTTACAACAAATTCGACAAACATTAAGGGCTGAAAATGTATAAAATTATCTTGCGAGTGCCACATGAGATAACTCTAGGGAAAATTCTCGTGACTGCACAGCAGAGAGTATTAAAGTGCAACTTTTAAAAACATTAAGCCATATAAGTGCTACAAAAAACAAGTGATACTATATTAGTGCAAATTAGAGGAAACTATGAGGTATTTAAGTGCTTTTAGTCAAACTATAATAAACTTTATAGTTAAGAACGTCGCTCCGTAAGTCATTTTGTATTGGTCGATGATGAAAATCCAAAAGGGGAAATGAGAGGAAAAAAAGTGACCATGTATTATTTTGTTTTCTAGGCTTTAAAGAAGTCCTTGTGACTCTTTAGAGATATGTATGTCAAAGGAGGATGCATTTTGTTTATGGGTGACTAACTTGTTAAGCATAAAAGAGTATAAGATACCATATTTTATAGGGAAAATTGTTTCCAGCCCCCAAAACAACCCAAAACATGCTCTGCCCCCCCAAGACCTTTTCAACGTTCCTTTTACCCCCAAAACCGCCCCCGATTTTCTTCCAGCCCCCAAAACCAATCCCCAGGCGTAACGCCGTTTAAACCCCGCTCGAAATGCCCAAAATACCCTTACGTTTAAAATTCCCCGTTATGAGTTACCTCCTCGTCCGTACCCTGTCATCTCTCTCTTCTGCAAGCAAACCGACTCCAGAAACCCAATTCAAAACCCTAGCCCTAAATCAACCGACCCCAACTCAAACCGAATCAAAGCAAAGGGATCAAAATGGCCGGCGATTCAACCCCCAAAGCCAACCTCAATGCCGACCACAGCGAAAGCGATTACGCCCAGCGGTTCGAAATCTCAGAAAGAGCCCAGACAACTGCAGTGCGGGCTGAATCTGAAGCTCGGGCTGCGATTGGTGATGTTCTAGAGGACATCGCAACCAGCCATTCTCATCCCAGAAGCCCGCCTCAAAATTTAAGTGTAGGCCCACGCGAAGGTCTAGAGGGCAGCACCGGCACCACCGGCGCGTCCAACGATGCCACTAGAGCGCTCCTTGGTCTACAGAGAGGAGAAGAAGAGAAGCACGTGGCAGCACCCAAAAGGTAATTTTTACCGCAAGTTTTATGTTGTTAAGGTTACGGTTTGATTGATAATGCTCTTAGTCTGGTGGGAAGGTCCAAAATTACGGTGTCTGTTAGCTGTTGAGGTTACTGTTAACATGCAAGGTCTATGCTTTTATTGCTGAGGTTGTTGTTTATTTGTAGAGGTTAGGCTTTGGTTGTTAAGGTTAGGTTTTGGTTGATAAGGTTGTGGGGTTGTTGTTAAGGTTGTTGGTTACTGCCTTTATTGTTAAGGTTGTTGTTTAGTTGTTGAGGTTAGGCTTTGGTTGTTAAGGTTAGGTTTTTGTTGTTAAGGTTATGTGGTTGCTGTTAAGGTTGTTGGTTTACCCGCAAAGTTTACAGCATAGCTGTTATGTTTACTGATTATACTCAAAAATGCTCTCGTCTTGTGTTTTTGTTTTGTAGAAAAAGGGCAAAGCCAGCTATTACGTTGCGGCCCACCGCCAGCTTCGGTGCCTATCACGACTTCATGCAGAATTTGGTGACGCGTATGGGGCCAAGGCATTTTGCGGCCTACGAAGATAGTGTATTCAGACACTACGTCCAATTTGGCCCACCTGGCGTCGATCTTCCCACCTTTGAGCACATTTTGAGTCAGTGGGACAAGAAGAGCAAAAAATTCGTCTTCACCGATAGGAATGATGGAGAAGAGATCCCATGCTCATTCAACCTTGAGTGGGTAATGGAGCATACATGGTTCTCCAATGAGGGGCTTCATGTTGACCACAATCGGGACAGGAAAAATAGGATTTGGTCCAGGTTCTTTGACAAACCCGAGGCGGGGGGTTCCAGCAGTATAGCTCCCCCCAAAGGAGGCCCCACCAGACGCAATGTGGAGGACCTGCTCTTGAAGCTGGTACTATCTTCTGATCGCCGAGATGTGAAGGACTTTGTCCTGCTACAGATCCTCTATCAGCTGAGCATGATTTGGTGTCCAAGCAGTGTTTCCGGCGTTCCTAGGCATTTATTCAAGTACGTCGACAGCATCGAACAGGTCAACAACACTGCTTGGGGGACCTATATATTCAGTGAGACATCTGACGCGATAGAGAGGGCACTGAAGGGTCCTGAGCCAGGGAAGACGACATTATATCTGCAAGGGTGTACCCCTCTAGTTTGTGTAAGTAATCATGTTTTTTACTGATTGTGAAGGTTAGGGTTTAGTTGTTAATGTTACAGTTTCGTTGTCAAGGTTACGGTTTGGTTGTTAATATTACGGTTTGGTTGTTAAGGTTACGTTTTTATTGTTAGGGTTACTTTATTAATTGTTACGGATGAAGGTGTTTGTTAAGTTTTTATATCTCTAATGTGCAGTTGTGGTATTATGAACTCACCGGCATCAAGAAGCCAGCACTTGGTTGTACGGTGAGGCCTCCCCTGACAAATTGGGTGAGACTTGGGCACGTTGCTGGTTCTTTGAGATTGGCCACTGTTGTTGCGAAAGCAAGCAAAGCTACGATAAAGCTTCCACAGCAACATGGACAACTTCAAAGAATCGAGGGAGGTTTTTGGGGGAAGGAGCAGGGGATAGAGAAAGAGAAGAGGAGAGAGAGAGAGAAGAGGAGGATTAAGGGTCCGGCTGCAGTAGACGCCGGCAGGGCTCGTGGCCCAATAGACCTTCTTCACAAGAAGAAGAGGAGAGAAGAAGATGACGACATCCCAATTGATGCACTTGTAAGAACTTAGCAATCGTGGATTTTATTTGTTTTTGAATTAATTAATCCTTTTAATAGTACTCTACCTGTCCGTTGCATATGTGATGCCACAGGATATTGATGAAGACGCCGAGCAGCCAAATGATGCAGTTGAGCAAATGGATTGGCCTCAGCAAGTTATCTACTGGAAGAGCATCGCGGCAATGAACGAATCATTACGCCGCGAGAACGAGAATAAATTCAAGGGTATGATTGCTGCAGACCGTGTAAAGATAAGTGCTCTTTCTGTGAAGGTGGCTAAGCTGTCTGCTCAAAATAGAAGACTGAGAGAGGAACTAAGCGAAGCACGATCCGGAACCCTCTCTGTATACAAGGATAAGAGCCCTACAGGATTGGTGTCCAGCCCATTGATGGAGCCGCAAACTTGTACAGGTTAGATGTGGCTTGCAATTACGTTTGCGTGTTATAGTTAAAAATTGATTGATAAGTATATGGATTTATTGTTAAGGTTAAGAATGTATTGTTAACTTTACTGATCTAATGTTAAGGTTAGGGATTTATTGTTAAGGTTAGGGATTTATTGTTAAGGTTAAGAATGTATTGTTAACTTTACGTATCTAATGTTAAGGTCAGGGATTTATTGCCAAGGTTGGAGATTGATTGTTAAGTATCTTGGTTAGTTTTAAGGTTATGTAACTGATGCTATGTTTTTTTTGACAATGAAGTACCTAAGCTCATTTGTGTTTATTTTTTGAATCAGACACTCCAGGCACCGTGGGTGGCATTGATGTACAGTACGATGGGGATGTCAATAAATCATTATTATGTGATGAAGCTAATAAGGAGAGCGAGGCCCCTCCAACAGGGAGGGCCTCTCCACAACCATTGTTTTCTGATATCCACAAGGAGAGTGAAGATGCTCCGCCAGGAGAATTACCTCCACCAGAGGCATCTGCTGTTGACAAGGCCCTTGAGGCAGAAATAAACGAGGGAGAGAAGGTGTCCCCGCCAGCGAAGGAGCTACTAACTTGTACAGGTTAGCTTGCTTTTGTACTATATGTTAGAGATTGGTTGTTATGTCTACGTATTGGTTGTTAAGCTTTTTATTGTTTATACTCTGAATCCTTCGAGCGCGTCCTCAGCAACACCAAATTCTCTCTCCCCCCAAAAAGCTCGAATCCGATTCTCATGCCCTAAATTGCCCCCAAATCATCAAAACCCTAGCTTCAGCCCACTCCATTCATGGCCGGCGACGACGATCCCCTCACCGGAGCTCGCAAAACGTTCTGGCACTCCGCCTCTTGGTCCGCATCTCGAACTGAGCAGTTGAATTCGAATCCCTCATCGAACTCGCGGAGATTCCAAGCTCCTCCTCTAACTCTGAGATCTCAGAACTCAAAAAATGCCTATTCAATTTTTACGTTTATTTGCTTTGAGTATGGAATGAATTTATCTGAATTTCGTTTGTTTCTAGTTGGATACGTAATCAGTAAAAGTCTGAAGGTGTTAATCCTGGTGAAGATGTATACATAATATTGCGGTTAGATGGTCGTGTTCGAAGATCAGGGAAGGTAAGTTCAGCAAGCATAAGATGTATACATAATATTGCGGTTAGATGGTCGTGTTCGAAGATCAGGGAAGGTAAGTTCAGCAAGCATATTTTGATAAGAAACTTGCACATTCTTATATTCGTGTTCGAAGATCAGGGAAGGTAAGTTCAGCAAGCATATTTTGATAAGAAACTTGCACATTCTTATATGATTAACTTTGTTCTTGAGCCGCAGAATAGTTTTTGCTGCATAAATATGGTTTTATAGTGAAACATTCAATAACCATTTCTTCATGCTTATATCAAAATAAAGAACAGGAAAAAAAAATCCTATTTCACGCAATAAGGGAATATATTTTGTGATATGTAAATTCTTTCTTGATGCTACTACTTTTAGGGAATGCCTGATTGGCAACAAATTGTGAACGAGTTACCACCATTGGAGGCTATACTCAGCAAACTAGAAAGATGAGCTCATCGCAGTTTGTTTATAAATGTGCAATTTGTGAGTATGCCAATACTTTTTTATTTAATTTGCTAAATATTGGAAATCATATAACTTGTATGTTCGTAACCTTGTCAATATCTCTTAAAAATTTCTCCTTTTCTTCCCCTATTCTTTCTATAGCGAACATAAATCTTTTTAAATCAATAGAGTTTGGTTTTCTTCTTCATCTCTTGTTATTCAAGAGTAATTTCAGTTCATGGGATTTTATTGCCTAGTTGTTATCTATAACTTAAAGTAAGGCAGATTTGAATATTTCTGGGCATCCATCCTCAGTTTGCGGCACAATTAAGCTAAGTCTGGACTTTGTTGTAACCATTTGCTTACGTTTGAAGTAAAATTGATTAAATACCGGTCCATGTTATCAATCAGTCTGCAAATATAATAGATTTTTGACATTGGAAATAATATGAATGTTGATGGGATTTGCACAAATCTAGAGAATGTCAACCTTTTGACCATAAAATCAAAGCAACTAAAATTAGTAAGTCTTAGTATCTAGATTAGTATTACATATATAATTCTAATTATAATGAACCGTAAAGTAAGCTTCATTATATGAACACTTTTGAATTGGATGTAGTCTATTCATCTTGGAGTAGAGACTTGTAAAACCCCGTAATACTGAATGTTGTGAGATATAATAATAAATATGTTATATTATGATAAATAATGTTGATTGATATTTTAGTATGCTAGAAATTGATTTGAGATCAATCCGATACGTATATATATGAATATATGAGTACAAATGCACAAAATATGCACGAGAAAAAAATCTGGGAAAAATGACCAGTTAAGAGTTTATAGATTTTACACAACGATGCACTTCGAATCTGGAAAAACTCAAAATACCAAAGTTGTAGGACTTTTCAACATCTTTCCAACAAATCCTATATCACCTCATTCTGAGGTCGGACGCGAACGTTATTGCTAAAATACCGAAGGTTGTTTTCCCAGTCAGACTAGGTTTCCTGGTTCGGGTCAAACAGGTTTGTTTCGGGTTTGCCTCTATAAATACCTGTGTTTTTCATGAAAATTCCCTTCTTTTATCATATCTATGAACCTTAGCAACCACCATCTCCCCTCAAAAATCCTAGATCTTATTCTTATGAGTTTTGAGAGCTTTGTGAAGCAAATATCGACAAAAGAGCGAGATCATCGACGTGTGACGAGGGAGAACGGGTGGTTTGTGCTCATGGATTGCTTGATGTTTATTTCAGAGGCTTGCACATGATATTAAGGCAAGATTATCTTCATCCAAACCTATCCCCATAGTTAAATAACTAGTTTAGATGATTAATATGATGTTGAATATGTGTTTATGCTTTAATCTTAACCTGAGGTGTTAAAAGTCAGATATTTGATAGTAAACCTTAAAACAAATGCTAGATTAATAATTTTTTCTTGCTGTTTATGATAGTATCATGATCATGATCATTAGGGTTTTTTCATAATTTTATTCATATATGAGAAATTTAAGTGATGTACTATATATATGTTTTTCTGCAGAAAACTGCAGCACTTATATAATCTTTAATTGAGAGTTTAAGATAGCAAACAAAGTCCAGTTTTATATGAAAGATATATGTATCTAGTTTCTAAAATAGAAAACTATTCTTAAAAAGAGTTTGTATAGAGAAAGATATGTTATATTTACTAACAACATGTCCTGCAGAAAAACGGCTGCACATATATAATGTTTAACTGGAGATTTGGGATAACAAATAAACTCCAAACTGAACCAAACTTATGTCATTTGAAAGATGTGTGAAACTAGTTTTCAAAACAGAAAACCATTTGTAAACATAGTTTTCCTAGAGAAAGATATGCTTGTTTTACTAACAGATGTCACGTCTGTTTTTCCTGCTCGTTTTGTGGAGCTGTGTTGCGTCGTTTTGAGGTGCGTTCGCGGAGTTTTGAGCCGCTTGATATTATACGTATAGTCATGAATATATTATATTAGATATTTAAGAATCCCAATGGGATTATGATGGATTTTGATTTGATCATATTGAATTAGATATAGTTCATATATATGTTGGATGTCGTTGATGAGCACAGCTCAGTACTATATGAGATAGTGCGTTGACATACCAGATATACGCGGTTTATACATGAGGTGAATGTCGTTGACGAGCACAGCTCAGTACTATATAGGATAGTGTGTCGACATACCAGAGATACAAAGGTTTACATGAGGTGGATATCGTTGATGAGCTCAATTCAGTACTACATGAGGTAGTTGTAGGATCGCTGCAATGACACTCAAACACTAGAAGGGGGTGGGGGTTGAATAGTGTTTATGAAATCTAATGCGGAAACTTTAAATTTCAATAAAATAATATCACAAAGAGTAAGAAAGATCAAACCAATGTGTAGACAATCACAGAAAATTGTATACGCAAACACAAGGATTTATACTGGTTCGGTCCTCCAGACCTACATCCAGTCCCCAAGCCTCGCTTGAGATTTCTCCACTATTTCCACTTGCAAAACCGCAAGCACTTGCAACCCGCAAGCAAACAGTACAACCTTGACAATCTTCAATTGCCAATGCCACAACAATCTCTTCTTTCAAGAGATTATCAAACTGAAACAGAATGGTACAACTCTTTCTCTTCCTATAAGCCTTGATGTGTAGATGTGAGTGACTTACAATAGGCTATAGGAATGGTTTTTGTTCTAGAGTAATGGAGTTTTAATCAAGAACAAAACTGAAAATAACACTCAGTTTTTCTCTTCAAAAATGGAGTTAAGAACTCAAGAAAAACTCAAGTTTATGGAAAGGAATCTTGTTGTTTTTCTTCAGAACTTAACACCTATTTATAGGCACAAGTTTAGTTCAAAATATTTCAAAAATAACTGCCAAAACGTTCATAAAACGTTCATGTTATTTGAAAGAAAATGACAGTTAGAAAGACTGTATGGTCGACCAGATTGAGGCCTGGTCGACCAGACAGACTTCCTGGAACTTGTATGTCCGAGTCTAGAGCCTCTGGTCGACCAGGTACATATCTGGTCGACCAGACAGAGATTTTTCTGAATCTCTGTTTCTGGTTCATATATCTGGTCGACCAGACATTTCATTGGTCGGCCAGAAACTATGTTATACATATTTTCAATAGTTTAAAATGTTATTCATTCGTTGATTATACTTAGGATTATACTTAGGATTATACTTAGAATATTTTCTATGATCTTCTAAGTGAGTAGTGTGTGTTGTGTGTGTGATCAAGGCTTGTACAAAGATTCTAAAAGAAAAGACAAAATTACATCACTCTTGTAAAGTATATTTTCTTCTTGAAGCGCGAAGTGACTTGATTAACTTCATCTTTTGATCTTTGAAATCTTGTTTTTGATATAGCCTTAATATCTTGATTGTTGCTTTGAGATGTATATCTTGAATCTGCAGTAAAATATGTTAGATAAACAATAATTTGTTATCATCAAAATACAAGAGATATTGTAATATCAACCATGTTCCCAACAGTAGTGCGTCGATATTCCACATGTACAGACCATTGAGTCGGATTTTAGGAGACTTGATATAGCCGTCCATCCCGCACTAGGGTACGATGATGATCGTGAGCTGTATTTCTAGGATGCCTATTTGGTAGTCCGTCCCGTACTCATGTTATGCATCGAGATCGCGATGAGACTAATGAGCCGTGTACACAGTTCAGGATACCTACAGGGTAGTCTGTTACACTTAGATAATTACTTGATAGCCTAAGTATGACAGATGCCGATTATGAATACGACCTATCATTGAACTATATAACTGAGATACGTTACTTTTGAAAGTATACAAAATTATGTATTGGTATTTTATTCTATCTCCCCAGTGATAGTGGAAGATATTATAAATACGATGTGTTGATATCTTATTTCTTTTACTGTCTTTTTTACTTCTTAGTTGGGATCAATGATTAGAGATTCACAATTTGAGACTTATGGTATATACATGAGGGTTTTCTTGTTTGGATTATTTCGCTCGACGTACCAGTCTCGTGTTATGGATTTCTAATTATTGGTTTCATTAGATTGTCTTTTCTTAGTTCAGTATTAATGTTTAGATATCTACAATTTGAGACTTATGGTATATACATGAGGGTTTTCTTGTTTGGATTATTTCATTCGACGTATTACGTCTCGTGTTGTAGGTTTCTAAATGTTAATCCTACTTAGATACGGGGAAAATAAATCTAGGTAGACTATGCTTAATAGATAGAGCATTCACTCCATCTAGTAGCCATTTCCCTGGGGGCGGATGGAGGTAATCTTGCTGTAGCGCTCTGACGCTCTTGTTGTTATTTTTTTAAATACCTTTTCAGGTAGTTCGGAGTTTCGGAGAGCCGTAGGGTGACGGAGTTCTGGCATAGTCACCGTCGCGTATTTTTATTTGTAGAGACTCCACTGTAGTTTTGAGTTTTATCCAGACATTAGAGTTTCATATTCATATTGTAAAGGCAGTGTGCCTTAGTATGATTTTTAGTTGATTCATGTTGAGACATTTTTATTATTCAGATATCAGATGTATTATAGTTGAGACATGATTCTTTTCATTTATGAGATATCTCTTCTATATCATGTCTATTATATTTATTCCCTTTATTTTACCTGTTTGTACCTGCACTTCTATTTGGTTCTACTAGAGGATATTAATGTGATTGGTGAAACATGTTTATACACAGTGTGGGTGCATGGCATGTTTGACATATCTGATTTCATCTTGGACTGCAGCCTTGTGTGAACCCAGGGGTGTCACAGTTGGTATCAGAGCTCTAGTTCCAGTATCCTTAGGATCATCCTGTGTCGAGTCGTGGAGCTAGTATAGAGTTTCTTAGGACGGTGGTCCACGGATAAACCCCGACGCAGGCAAAGAACCCACAAAGCGAGCGACCGCAAAACAGGAGCTTGCGATTCGTTCGACAGAAAAGGAGAAAGTTGTAATCTTTGTTTATTTTTCTTTGATTTTCATTGTAACCGGATCTTAT